GATAAAGGGAAAAATAAAAGTGTCCAGGGATGGGAATTTTCATTACCCTTCACAATTCATCCTTTCATACTTCATCCCTAAGGTTAGAAATAATCGTTATTTCTTCCTTAAAAATAAATTTCGATTTTTCGTTTAAAAGAAAAACATGCTGGATAGATTTTTGAATATCATTAAAATTGTATATAATGATAAAAATATATACCTTTGTGTGTAGCGATGGATCCGTGTAAAGAAAAAGGAAAAGAGTACTGTAAAATGAAGAATGCCCACTGTGTACTCAATGCTGGAACAGATTCAGGTTTCCAATGTCAGTGTTGGAATGCTAAGTTGGTAGAAAAAGATGGAGAAAAGTGCCCAGGTAAATTAAATTAATTATATACATTCTACACTCTTGTTATTTTGATCATATTGTAACATAGAAAATTAGGAAAGACAAACTTCACGATGACACTTCAATTTATTTAAGACATAAGTACCAAATAAAATTGATAAAATACAAGAGAAGCAATGAGGGAAGTTTCCAGAATATATATAAATTTGTTTAAGTTAAAAAATAATAAAAAAGAAAATAATAAAAAAAAGATTAGGTGTTTGTTATTAGAATCAAAAAAGGCATATCCAGACTACGTTGAGATGAACTTTTTGATATATATGTTAGATAATAAAAAGGCATATATTGGATTTAATAAAATATTTATTTTGTCCATATTTCGGCTGGCTGAACGCCAACCTTTATCGAGACATTACATTTCAAAGATATACAAAAATGTAATGCCTCGATAAAGGTGGCGTTCAGCCAGCCGAAATATTGTCAAAACAAATATTTTATTAAATCCAATATATGCCTATTTATTATCTAATGAATTAAATATGGATTGCTCTATTTTCAATATATATATATATGTGTGTGAATAAATAACAAATAAAATGATAAAAAGGTCGGGTGTTTGATATTAAAATCAAAAAAGGTATATCCTGACTAGGGTCACATGAGCTTTTCTAGATGGCAGAGCGCCATCTAGTAGAGCAAAATTAAACTAAACGTTTATTTAATCTCTCCCTGATATTTGGCCAACCCAATTTCTTGATTTATCAATAAAATCAACCACGAACGCGTTTCGGGTTGTTGGCCCTCGTCAGCGTGGTGCAGAACATATCTCTACAACCAAAATTTGGTCCCAGAGGCTTTCTGAGAAATCAAGAAATGGGTACTCATGTAATCCTGGTCAGGATGTACCTCTTTTGTTTTTAATATCAACACCTGGCATATTATACCTATTATTTTATTGTTTTTTTCAAACATAGATATGAATATATATTTTTTGAAAATAGTGCAATCCATAAATAAATATTTAAATAAAAAGACATATATTAGATCAAAATATCATTTAATTTACTAATATTTCAGTTGGCCGAACGCCAACCTTTATCAAGGTGTTATAATGTATTATACAAGGTATTGATATGTTATAATATTTTGATAAAGATTGGCGTTCAGCCAACTGAAATATTAGTAAAATAAATGATATTGTGAAATAATATATGTCTTTTAATTATATACATATTATATACTATAAAATGCAATTATTTTATAAAAAAAAAAAAAAACTTATATATTTTTTCCACTCATTGACTGTTCTACATTTTTTGACCATAGATTTAGAATATACCACTTTAACTATTGTTGTAAATATATATATATATATATATATATATATATATATATATATATATATATATATGTATAGTTAACCTACTTATTTTTTAAAATCACGATTATAGAATTCATTTTATAAATTCTATATTGCTGTGATAAATATTTTTGTGTGTAATATACTTCAAGAAATTCAAAATAAAAAAACTACTTGATGGGTAAATAATTATCTTTCCTTGTTCACGACAGCACCTTCAATTCTCTTTCTTTTTCAACAACAAAGCAAAAATAATCATAACATATATATACTTATTTTGGTTGTGTAACTTTTTAACTTTTTTATTAACCTCATCAAAAAAAAAACTCATATAACGCTATATCCCAAACGCAAGGATTTTTGCGTCAATACATTACATCATCACAATATGGCTATATACAAGCTTATACAATATATTTATTTTACATGAGAAAATATGTTTTTTGGTTGTAGCGATGGATCCATGTAAAGAAGAGGGCAAAGAAGCGTACTGTAAAATATTGGATGCCGAATGTGTTGTCAATCCTTTCACAGAATCTGGTTTCCATTGTCAATGTCCCGATGGAAATGTATTAGCAGATAACAATGAAAGGTGTCCTGGTGAGTAAATTATATTTAATATTCTAAAAATTCATATAAAATACTTATAAAAATTGATCTATCCTTAATATATATCAATGTTATGTAATATTCATGAAATAAATTAACGATCTTACTTAATATCATTATAATTCATGTTTGAAAAATTCAATAATAGAGTCAAAATTCGCTAATCAAATAGATGAACCTATTATCAATTAACAACAATAATTCGGATAAACCTTAAGCATCAATTTATTTCAGGGGCACCAGAGATACTGGAAAGTAGAAAATACAATGTTATAAAATAAAAAAAGCTTCCAGGGCTAACACGAATTAATATTATAAAAAAAAACAATTTTTTTCTCCAAATATTTCGAGAGATTTCTCTCTCTCTCTCTCCCTCTTTATCAATTTATTTCACATTAAAGTATCTTTTCTTTCTTTACAGATCCAGGTACGTCCTATAATCTTAATTGATGGATCGCCTTTTGACTCAAAGAATTAGTATGTTATTTAAATAATTCATATGAAAAGGATTAGAAAATTAAGTGAATTTGAAGATATTATTAAGTGGAAATGATCCAAAAGAAATATAACTTTTTTTATATCAATTAAGCAGGATCAGAAGATGAGTTTCTTTTATTGATTGAATGCTACGAGCTTTCGGGCAAAAGCCCTTCGACAGGCAAAAATATAATTATACAAAGAAAGATAAATAACGATTTTTATATATGTTAATCTTAACTGAAAACCGATTTTGAATAAAGTAAATATTAAATCTGCTGTCTGAGACCATGAGACGGCGCATGGTTTGGGCTATTGAAATAAACATGTGGGAGGTTTAAATGTAGTTTGTGTAGGCTGCGGGGATGTCTATTTTTCTATTTATGCTGTGTAGCTTGGATGAAACTATGGATTCTAGAACCAATCTCTGGTGTAGGTTGGAGATATTTTTGTAGTGAATGGTTGGGTTAGCAGTGTCAAAGGAATGGCCAGAAGATGCAATGTGTTGGAAAATAAGGGAACGGGTATCTCGGTTGGTGATGTTGCGTGTGTGTTCGGTCATTCTGATGGCGATGGTTCTACCGGTCTCCCCCACATAGGTGGCAGGACACTGTTGGCACGAGACCGAGTAGACTGCTCCAGAAGATGTTAGAGGATCAGTGGAGGAGTCGGTTTTTGTGATGGGATGCCTAAGGAGTGAGTGGAGGTTAGGTGTGTTAGTAACCTCCACTCACTCCTTAGGCATCCCATCACAAAAACCGACTCCTCCACTGATCCTCTAACATCTTCTGGAGCAGTCTACTCGGTCTCGTGCCAACAGTGTCCTGCCACCTATGTGGGGGAGACCGGTAGAACCATCGCCATCAGAATGACCGAACATACACGCAACATCACCAACCGAGATACCCGTTCCCTTATTTTCCAACACATTGCATCTTCTGGCCATTCCTTTGACACTGCTAACCCAACCATTCACTACAAAAATATCTCCAACCTACACCAGAGATTGGTTCTAGAATCCATAGTTTCATCCAAGCTACACAGCATAAATAGAAAAATAGACATCCCCGCAGTCTACACAAACTACATTTAAACCTCCCACATGTTTATTTCAATAGCCCAAACCATGCGCCGTCTCGTGGTCTCAGACAATAGATTTAATATTTACTTTATTCAAAATCGGTTTTCAGTTAAGATTAACATATATATAAATCGTTATTTATCTTTCTTTGTATAATTATATTTTTGCCTGTCGAAGGGCTTTTGCCCGAAAGCTCGTAGCATTCAATCAATAAAAGAAACTCATCTTCTGATCCTCCTTAATTGATATAACTTACTAGAAGAGTCTTTCCCTTTAATAACTTTTTTTTAAATTTAGTTAATTTACAAGAATTAGATATTACAGGAAATTTAATTTTTACTAAAATAATTGAAAATTTGCATAATTTAAGAAGGTGTTTCTTGTAGATATAATTATTTGATTTCTCTTAAAGTAATAGAAAAATTGAAAAAAAAAGAATATCTAGAAGGGAATAATTTAACTTACCCCCCCCCCCCCCCACCCCCTCGTTCACACAAGAAATTGAAACTTTGATAAATTCAAAATACTTGAACTTAAATTAAAATGAATTAACATCTATCAGAAGTAGAAAGAAAATTCTAGTAGCCTTGTCTACATGTGAAGCAGAACTTATTTCAATATGTGAAGCAATTTATGAGGTTTTATGGTTTAAGGGATTACTAGAAGAACTTTTTAAAAATGTAACTTTCCCAATTACCTTGAATATTTACAGCCAGGCTGCAATAAACTGGATACAATCTAATAAAATTACTTCACGAACAAAGCACATAAACCGAAAGTATTATTTTGTGAAAGAGGAAATACAAAATGGAATCAAGCTGGAATACACTGAAAGTAAAGACATGGAGGCGGATATACTAACGAAGAGACTCCATAAAGACAAACTACGGAAATGTGCAGATAGCTTTGGATTTGCTGATTAGGGCTTACACACATGGGAGCGTATGTTGTATATATATATTAAATAATACAATATATTGCGGCTTGTGATTGTAAAACGACATTTAAAGATTATCCCGCATGAGTTTCTTTTCAACGAATAATCAAAATTAATTTTAAGGAGAAATAACGATTATTTCTAACCTTAGGGATGAGGTATGAAAGGATGAATTGTGAAGGGTAATGATAAACGAAAAATAAAAGTGTCCAGGGATGGGAATCGAACCCACAGTGTTCCGCTTACCGGGCAGATGCCATGTCCACTAAGCTCACTGGACATATTTTTCCGTTCGTAAATAATACATAAAGTATATATTTAAGTAATATAAGTAAGTATTATAAGTATATAATTAATTATTTATTATACTACAGAGTATGTATGTAAGATCGCAATATTATTAAATAGTGGTTACCTATAAGAAGAAAAGTTTCAATTGTTTGCTATGTTATAAGTTTCACTTTTATTTTATTCTATCTCTTGTAAATCAATAAAGATAATATTTGATTAATCTTATTGGAATCAGTATCTTCAAAAGCATAAGTGAAATCACCATATATTGAAGTATAAGATGTATAATCATATATATTGAGAATATTCACCTTATGTTATAAATTATATGAAATGTTCAAAATATATTTAAAAATAAGCGATTCGAAGAAAGAATACCCAATGTTTTTACTAACCTGACACCATAGAGGTATTCCAGTGTGTGTGCAAGGATAAAAATGTCATAAAAGTAGATGAAAAATGCCCAGGCAAGTAAACCAATCAATTTTTTAAAGATTTTAAACAAACCTTATTTTACAGAGCCACTTTGTTTATTCTATATAATTCTGAAAAAAATCCCGTTTATAAAACTTTATTCATTTTATCAGTTTATTTCTCTTTCTGTATATCACCAGTGTATTACCAGTGTATTCATTCTTAGAAAATTTGCATATTAGTTAACTTTACTCAGTCTTTAAACAAATTAGGGCGGAACTTTAAAAATTAAATCGTATCTTTATAAAAGTCAATAATAATGTTCACCTATAAATTTCAAATTATTAATCAAGAAGAAGTTATAAAAAAGGAAGAAAAAACATTATTTACCGAAATAGAAGAGCGATGTGACCCACGTACAGTCGATTCGGCCACCTAGCGGCTTATCTTTGTATATCACTGTATTTCTCTTATAAAAATCTTAAAAAGGCTTAGACATAATTTCAGATCAATTTGTATCTACTTATATAATTGCCTTATTCTGTCTGTCTGAAGCTCACGGATAGAACCTCCATGAGAGGACACTCACGCTAGAGGACACCTCTCTACAAAGGACAGGTTTCTTCACCAATACAGTAGAACCTCCATGAGAGGACACTCACGCTAGAGGACACCTCTCTATAAAGGACAGTTTTCTTCACCAATACAGTAGAACCTCCATGAGAGGACACTCACGCTAGAGGACACCTCTCTATAAAGGACAGTCTATTTTACTATGTTTTATGTGTTTGAATAATACATTTAATCGTGTAAACCCGGGCGTTGCCCGGGTCATTCGTCTAGTATTAATATAATAAAATTATAAATTTTTGCATATTGATATGATTTCCAATTATTTTATTTTCAAATATTTCATTTCCAAAGCGCTATATCCCGCAAGGCATACTTGCGCCAAACAAGGAGAAAAGTTTATTTACATAAGTTATTTACATTATTCAACGCATGAAAACATTAGATATCCAGATTTTGTAGAAAGTTTTGAATGTATTTACAAAATGAATTGAACTTTAAATATGATTTTTATCGGAAATCAATTCGTTAAGTTCACAAACAACTAGTTCATTCTACATTTTATAATCTTGAAATGCTGGGAATTCGATCATATATTGATATGATGAAATTAATGTTTAAAATATGTATCTGTGTTATTTTTTCAGATGCCTGTGAAATTAACGACAACTTCAAAATTTGTTTGGAGAAAAGTGCATTCTGTAAAGTGAATGATGAAAAGTCTGAAAGATTTGAATGCAAGTGTCACAATGGAGAACATTTTGATGAAAAGAAAGGATGTAAAGGTATGTTTGTAATTGATTATTTAAAATATATATATATGTAGTAAACCCGATGTGGAATGTACTGGGCAGTCGTGGTAGTGGGTGCGTGATGGGATTCCCGCACTGGGACAGCAAGAGACAGAGGCAGGTCTAGATGGTAACTCCAAGAAGGTAGAGGTAGACCACGGACGAAGGCAAGTCGGACCACGGGCGCCGCGGATGCCTACATCGCGGATAGAAGGGGGAGAGACCCGACCGTATGACGGCGTCGCTCTGAAAACAACTAAACAACTACTACTTGGAGGGCTTTATATACTCAGACTCCCGCATGTGGTGGCGCGTTTTGATTGGCTCCCATAATCACGCCACCTGGCCGGACACCTGTTCGGCCACCTGTTGACGGGGGGATTGAACTCATTGTCATAAACACCTGTTAGGCCCCGGGTTGTTTATCACGTCTGGCCTTTGTCGTCTGGTCTACCTCTTTGTCCCTTTGTTTTATTTGTCACTTCTATTATCACAAGTTTGATACATATTTTTATATAGATATGGTGTTATAATAAATATTAGAAGAAGGCTGTGATCTATCTATGTCAAAATATACTACAGAATGTGTCCCCGGTGATGAAGGTTTGGTTGGGGGAATGACATGTAATGAATGATAACCTAACAAACCTATTATAAAAAATAAAAGAAATAATTTTTGTATACAATTTAGTTAAAATTATTATTAAGCTATAAGTTAAAAAGAGAAAGAGGTTGTAATGGTGGTGTATCAATGAAATAAAAATCAAGGTTATAAAAATAAAAACGCACAAAATGAACGATAAAAGATTAAGGGGAAGTATATAATACAAAATGTTAAATATGTTAAAATGAATCGTACAAGGAAAATAATATCTTATTGCATAAAAATGAGAGGAAAAAAAAATTAAGTTAGTTTATTAACTGAACGTATAATGTGACGCTAAGGTTGAAAAAGGGAAAGGGGGTATCTGAGCATGTTTCTGCAAAAGTAGTATCCCAAGCATCCTGCAATGCAATGCGAACTTGTTTAAGTGAGGCATTGTTTTCATTAACAGAAGGCCTAAGATATTCCGTCTGCATCATTAGCTCAGACAGCGAAAAGAGGTGGGAAGATTGATGGAGGTAAAAGGGGGAGGTAGAGGTAAGAGGGATCCCTGTTGTCCATAATGATTGTGCCCGGTTGAATTGTGAAAAAAAAGTGAAAAGTTGAAAAAATGATGAATTGATATGATGCGTCGGGCGATGAGAAAAAAAAAATATCGCGCTGGATATCCTGAACTCACTATCGGGAATGGTATAGCGAGGAAGGATTGTTCCAGTCGGTTTAATCAATGAAAAAAAACAAAAATGTTCGGCGAACTGGAATCCCTTGGAAGGTTGGAGGTTTGAAGGATGCGGAAAAGGAGAGGTGGGTGTAAGAGAATTATTGTTGTCAATTTTGATTGTGTCCGGCTTGTGTGGTGAAAAGAAAAAGTTGAAAAATGAAAAAAATGATGAGCCGGACGATGAGACAAAAAAATAAAAAACTAACTGGTTCTCCTGAGCTCACTGTTGGGAAATGTACAGCGAGGAAGGGTCTTCTAGTTAGTTAATCAACAACAAAAAAAGAAAATGGTTGACGAACAATAATCTCTTGATGGCTGTAAAAAGTTGGAAGGAAAGGTTCATGGGATCGAGTTAGAGGTTGTAAGGGAAGCGTCAAAAATAACATTTTGAAATTATATTAAGAAAAATAAAATGATAAATGTTTTATCTGTTTAAGAAATATTATAAATATTGTTAGGTGTAGGTTTTTTAAAATGGTGCCTAAAATAGTTGAAGTTGTAAAATGCTAAGTCTAAACATGATGAGAAAAAGAGAAAATAAAAATATTAAAGGTACTAATATATAAAGGGTTGATTGGTAGTTTAAGGCATTAATGTTGATTAATAAACAAAATGATATTATTGATTAATAGTGAAATGTTTATCTATATCTGTAAGTTAAAAAACAAAGTCCAACACCAAAAAAACTAGTAAAACTGTAAGTCTATTTACAAAATAAATGAGAGAAAAGTTAAAAGAAAAAAAAAATATTCGTTCCTGAAAAAAGGGAACATATTTACACACAATGTCTAGTTGTAGGTGCAAGATTAATGATGTCTTTCTAATTTGGCTTACGGGGAGGCAATGTGGTCCTATAATTGAATGATTGACAGGCTGCTAATGGTGGGTACAAAAGTCATTCCACCCCTTTAGAAGTAGGGAGGGAAAGACGAAGTGGAAAAAAAACAATTAGGGGGGAGTTCAGTGTGTCCTTGATTTGTTTGTCGTTGGGATGAAGATTGGAATATTGTCGTGGCGATCGACGCCATTTTGGGGATTTAATTGTCCTTTTTGGAGGCCAAGATGGCGTCTCACATGGTGTCATGTACAGGATCGCTTTTAGAGATGGTAGGGACCTAATTTTTAAACGGGTTGACAAAAACGATAAACTCCTATAACATTATAAAAATAAGGTTTGCTATAAAAGGGATTTTATATAATTTTCCTATCCGTTTTAATCTGGCAGGTTCCTCTGTTAGAAGGATATTAAATTTAATCTGTAATATTTAAATCGTGGGTGTGAATAATTGGGAAAAGGTAGGCTATAAAAGAATTAATTAATTAACTAGTGTATAAATAAATGTGTTATGATTATGCGAAATGTGTTAATGGGATATGGGATATGCGAGAGGAATTAAAATTGATGTGAACAATGTAGAAGTGCGAAATAAAAATGTATTTAATACGTAAATGACAATTTAACACAGGCAGGAAGGAAATGCAATGGGATATGGAAATTTTATGGTATGTTATTTAGTTTTCGCCTATTACATTTAGAGTTGTTTTTGTAATTGTGGGAAATAGGGGAGGCACATTTTGAGATGAGATAATTTAAAATTGATATTTATAAAAATACAAATCTAGGACTAATTTTTAAAACTTTTAAGTATTGAGAAATAATCAATTGAAATAGAAATAGGTCAAGTAAAATAAAGAGCGCAATATATTTAATTATTAATACTATGGCCATAAATAAGGTATTAAAAAAAACACACAAATAAGTTTAGAAAATATGATTCGAGTAATTAAAATATAATATGATTTTTTAAATGTAAAATTGAAAGTTGCATATTTGGATAATGCCATTTTAGGGGAATTTAAGATAGGCATGTAAGATTAGTAAATTGGCAA